CTTCTCGGGCATAGAGACCCACAAGTTCCATCTCCGACAGCGCCATCCCAACAGTCAACATAGACTGCATGAGACCTCGCTGATTTGATTTGGATTACAGCATCAAGCAGTCCATCATTCATCCACGAAGTTATCTATCTGAAATAAGGAGCTCAATGAGCAAGACAATGTAATCGAGCAGGTACGATTTATTTGGCATCAATGAGTGGCATCATTATTCTCTTCGATTGAGGTGTGCCCAGTTCATTGGTGAATGAAGGGTTGCCGGTAGAGGAGCGCCACTGGTGTATCGGAAGGTCGCCGATGGAGTGTGGGCAATGGTTAGGGTGGAGGAAGATGATAGAGAAGACAAGGGCAAACATTGTCTATTTTCATATTCCCGCTGTAATCCTTATTCATATGTCCTAGCAGTATAATCCTTTTTATATTATTTGATATAATCAGCATTACAAAATATAATCTTTTTTATATTTCATAAGCCCGACTAAATATGTGAATCAATCATTTGCATCAGGAGAATTACATGTAATTCCTTTTTGTGGAATCAAGCCAAACGGCCCATCAGAGTTTATGAACAGTGAGTCCAGTTTGTCAACACTATTGTGATCACTCGTTTTGACTCATAATTTCCAAACCTGTGATTTTTTTTTTATTTAGGTACTTTACAAAACTATCCAGTTAATCATTTCTACTATTAATATATCTGGAATTTACATTTCTATATCCCAAAAATATTTTTATTTCTTATTTTGCCACTCTGTTCAACTCAACGTATCGACAATTTCTTATATTTATCAACAGGTGAGTCGTTTTTTATGTAATTGTAACAGTTGGTGAATGGATAGATTTTTTAAGTAATGACTATTTTCTTTTGTCCAATGGCCAATAAACGATTTTCTACTATAAATAGGCTTCACTGGATGATTCCAACGACTTTTTAAATTAACTGATTTTCATCAAAGTTGAATCTTGCTATGTCAATATATATAAAATTTCAAAACTGCCTATGTACTTCAATATGTACTCCCTCCCCATGTTTTTTATAAGATCCTAAAATTTGAACTGGTTTAATCCTTTTAATAAGATCCTGTTTGAGGGTGTTTGAACATTAAATGCCTTTTTTTTAAATTCAATTTTGTTTCTAATTAATTTTCTTTTTTTTCGCTTAATTTTTTTCTCATACTACATTTTCTTCTATCATTTATAATATTTCTCTCTCTTATTTGCCGTTTATTAAATAAGGACATATATGCTTGAAAAAAATGTTCAATTTTTACATATTTATTACTTTTAACTGACTTTAACTCTTTTCTTAAACTATATAACTTAGTTAAAATTAAAGGATGTTATAAAAAGAATTGGAGAGAGTATATCATATTTTTACGCATTTTATGTGGACATCTTTTGATCTCTTAGTGATCAATTACTCTCTTTATACCTGAGCTCAGGATTGTCTGTAGTACACATTGTGTAAGGGAAACTCTCAGGAATTTTTTAGGACTGGATCAGTATAACCGTTGTGTGCCATTACTCTCTCTCTCTCTCTTGCTTGAATATCAAAAAAAAAAAAAATTCAATCATGTGTGAGGGAAAATCGTTGTGTTTAAATAAGAAAATCAATTATCAATTAATAAATAGTAAAGTAACAGTATCCGTGCTCATTTTATTTTTAATATAATTTCAAAAGCATGCAAAATTTTAAAAATAGAAAATATTAAAAAAAATCAAATCAACAATAAAAAGGCCCCACTTATTTTATATTGATTCTCTGTAACAAACAAAACATTAGGGAAAAAAATTTGCAAGGAGCACAATTAACATACCAACTTAATAAATGGTCAGTGAACGAAAAAGATTTCCTTGATTATTTGTTCATTTCTTTCCATTTTCGCCAATACAAAATGTTACCCTAATGAGAGATACATTTAATAATCTTGATCTATTTGTAGCCTTTTTATTTGCTCTAATTAAGTGCAATAAATCATTTCAACATGTATACTATATATATATAATTATATATGGCCTAATCAAAGTTTATGTGGACCACTTATTTCAGACTCTAACTACTCAGTTTTGATTGAGTCTGCCACTATAAGAATATTGCCAATTGACACACTCATTAACTGTATATACTTATATATGTGTGTGTGTGTGTACATATCATGACTCATTGAAATGCTGATGATATTTTGTCAAATTAAGAAACAAAATAAGTCCAAAACAGCATAGAATAAATTAGCTGTAAGAATGAGTCAAACTCATATAAATATATATATATATATATATAATATGTATGTATATATATTCTACTCCCCATTTGGCACGCTACAAAATGATTCCCAAATTAAGAAACAAAATAAGTTCTGCTTTTCACACTGTTTACTATGGAAACAAGAATTTGACCTCTATTGTGTTCAATCGTTAAAAAACATAAAATATTCTCAAGATTATTGTTCATATTATATCAAATAAAACAAGTTCAACTAGACATACTAATATTTTTTTAGTTTTTGTAATATATGCGCATTTTTTATTAAAATAGTTGTTTTTTTAAACATAATAATATTTCAATTTAGGAATAAAGCTTTTATAGAACTAACTGGGATTAAATTTTGTAAAAAAATTACTTAAATGCCCTTAATTTGAAATATGAAATATGAAAAAAATTAAATAACCATAATAGTTAGATAAACAACAACTTTAATTTATCAAATAAGAACAATTAAGATAGCAACAACTAATTTCACAAAATAAATTGTTAAATACCAATGACAATGACAATTTAATAAGTAATAATTGTAACTTATTATATGACAACAACAATTAAGACAATGATGATCACTAATTTCAAGAAAATTACATCACTTCACATATAAACTTAACTTAAAAATAACATTCAGGTGCAAATTTGTTATGTAAGTTTTCACTTAAGAACACTAAGTACCTGAAATTTTTTTGAGATGCAAATTTGCTGTGTAAGTTTAAAATTATGATATTTTTTTTAATGTTAACAATATCATTGGTCAATGTCACTAATTAGTTTTTTTACGGTAACGGGCAAAATTGCTACGCTTTAAAATTTTTGAGATGAATTTGCACACAAAAATCTTTTAGGCGCCCAACTGAGTGAAAATTTTTGAACGAATTTGTATCTTAACCTCTCAAAATACCTCTTACTTTATATAGGAATTAAGACATTTTAAATAACCATATGAGATTCTCATATTTTGTTAATTGATGTCTTTCTCTCAAACTTAAATTTAAGACCTTATTTAAAAAAAAAGTTCCAATTTTATAATAACTCAGCCCAGCTGTTGTTTGTTATTATATCACACTATCGCTTGTAAGGTGACTTCCATGATACCTCATAATGTTAGTCTTCTCTTTTTTGCCTTTCAGTCATTGTTGAAAATTTGAAAGTCTTCCAAACCCATCAGGCAAATTGGAAGTTCTGCTTGACTCTAGAAGCAAGCGAACAAGTCAAATGGGCCACACTCACAATTTCAAAGCGCGTGGAGACCGGTTTGGCTTTTCTTAAATTGCTTTGCGATCCTTTTCATATATTAACGTTGCTATTGCACCCTTCAAGAATTTGGAAATGAAATGACGATATTGAAATGTGGAGAAGTGGCTCCATTATCCCTCTGGCTCACTTACCTTATATTGCCTTATTAATTATTTTCTGATAAAAAATTATCATCGTCCTCCTATACTTAATCCTCAGCAATTTATTTATCCACAAAAAATATTTTAAATCAAAATTATCTATGTTTATACATATGTAACTGAAATTTTCCTTTTGTTAAAAAACACAAAAATATACAGTTTCAAACATTATTTTCCTATTCATCTGAGTTGCGTAATATTGTCAAAAATGTTTACTAAACTTAATCATAGTAATTAACTAATTATACATATGTCGAAGGACATGATCATTTTCATTTCATTAATTATTAAAATAATAAAAATCGGAGATTAGAGGGATATCCACTGAGAAAAAAAGAAAATCCAAGTCATATTCCGTTCTGTAGAAAACACAAATAATATTTTATTATGTCTTTTTTTTACCAGCATATTTTATTATTTCTAGTTCTTTGAGGGAAAAAATAAAATTAAATGACGTGTGTGTATATGAATATGTGTGTGTGTTAAGTGGTACTGCTTGTTTTAGGTTTGATGTCTCGTGAGAATTTCTACTCCATTGTTTAATTTTCTTAAAAAGATTAAGAATTTAATTTTATGATGAAGTAAATGCCCCAAAAATTTATAAAGCATAATCGAATTAAACATTTTTATAACTTGATCAAACTCCTTTTACATATATATATATATATATAAATATAACGATATGTATATATGCGTCTTAGGTCTAATTAGGAGTTATTTTTTATAGAATACAATTTATAATGAACCGAATTCAATAATTTTATATGATATAAAAAAAATGTAAGAAGTCAATTTCCGCACATCTTAATAAGACGAAAATAAATCGCATTATTCATGATATATAAGTAATGTGGCTTTCCATTGATTTTATATGTTATATTAACAATTAATATTTATAGTCTATAAATGAGGATATATAATAGATTTATTAGAAAAAATGAAAATAAAAAATGAAAAATTTAGGTCAGTCAAGTCAACCAAGGGAGCTCAAATTATATATAGCTGACCATGAATTTATCCCGGTTCATTTCGGCCGAGCATTTTAGAAAAGTTTAAACTAAAAAATAAATTACTATTAATTAATATCCAAATCCCATGATTAATCACTAATTCCTCTAATTCCTTTAACAAAGCATATAACCCAATTCCCCATTTGGTCCCTCTAGTTTCAAGCACTGTGCCTACTTTTTTGTTGCTCTCTCTCTCACACATCCCTTCTTCTTCCTCCCCCTCTCCTTCTCACAGAGCCAACAATCAGATTGATCGATGCTTCATCCTCCTAATCTCTTTCCTCTCTCATGGACCTTCGTATTCTTCTCATTTGGGATCCTAAGCGGCGTCGTTTCGGATCCACAGACCCATCTTCTGAACAACGAGTGTAATCCGTACTTCATTTCCAACGTATTTCTGGACTCCAATGTCTCCGTCTTCAACCAAAACCTAAACGGAACTCTGCGAGACATCAGAGAGCAGATCAGTGTCCAGAACAAGCACTTCGCCACGGCAAAGCAAAGCAAGGGAGGAAACCCTGTTGCTACGCTTTTTCAATGCAGAAACTATCTCTCCGTCGCCGACTGTGTCGCTTGCTTCAATGCGGCTACCGATCAAATCCGACGATGCCCCCCCGGGACCTCCGGTGCCCATGTCGTCTACGACGGCTGCTTCCTCAGGTATAACTTTTCAGCCACGTTCAAGTTTCACCTTTTTTAGCTCTTTTAGTTTAATTTTTAATTTAATTCTAAATATAAGACTTTAATCTATTTATTATATTTTTTTTACAATATAGTTATTGTAGTAGTTACGTATGTTTGATTTTTAATTTAGTTCTAAATATAAGACTTCAATCTATTTTATCTATTATATTTATTCTTTTTTTACAAGATAGTTATTGTAGTAGTTACGTATGTTTGATTTTTAATTTAGTTCTAAATATAAGACTTCAATCTATTTTATCTATTATATTTATTCTTTTTTTACAAGATAGTTATTGTAGTAGTTGCACATGTTAAATATTCAACCAACTGGTAATTTTAACTAATATATGATTAGCAACAAGTATTTTAGAAAAGACAATACCTAATTATTACAAATAACTAACTTAACAAACTTCCTTAATCCACTCAAATTAGTCAATTTGCTCTTATACCTAGGGCATATTAGGGGTGGAACGTAAAGAACATGGTAACATATTGGTTACGCACAACTTCAATGGCTGGGCTTAGGGATGAATCAATTTACAATTGACAATTATGATAAATTCAAAAGACCGAAGACAGAACATCAATCCTTATCTTATCAAATGAAGTTGACTGCATGGATCATATACCACATATTGTGCCATCTTAAAACGATTTTTTTTTCTTTTTTTAATATATTCTAATTTTTTTCCGTATATGTTTCTTTCTATTGACTACATGCTTATCTCAATAACTACCCCACTTTATGTTCAATAGACAATATATTTTTAGTAAATATAATATTTTATACGCACACGCGCATACACATATATATAAATATATATAACATTTTGAATGTATTCATTTTTTCCAAAAAAGTGGCTTGTCGTTGGTTAATTATATATAGCCCATGACCCCTATAAAAAGAATGTTTCTATGATTTACTCAAACTTAATTTAATATTTTTTTGGTCAAACCAAAGTTTAAGTCTTATTTCTTATCGCTTTCCAAATTTTCGAGTATTTTTCTTTGAAGAATCATAAAAAAAATTGAAAACTACACTATTTTTCCTCATAAGATATCAAAATGTCACTCATTTTTTTAGAATCTAATAGTAAAGGGAAACAAGAAAGAAAAATTGGAAGTAGAAAAAATTAAGAAGCAGTAATGGAGGGAGCTGAGAGGGAGCAGCGCATCCTAAATCCATATAAATTATGCACTAAGCAATAAGTGAGAAGTATTTTTCCATTTCTGTTTTACTCTTATCGAATTTGTATAAAACATAAATCAATCAATTATCAACTAATCTTCCAATTGATAGTGAAAAAGGTGAAGAATTCGTCTTTTTATTAGCTTGATTCGTACATAACAAAATCCAAATACATATACTGAACTTGGAAAAATGATTGAGGATACTTGTTGTGTGTTTTAAGGTTCGATATTAATAGTAATGTCTTTCAAGAAACAACGCAAACTTTCAACATCACGTCATGTGGGAATCAGACTACTGAAGAGAGAAGCCATTACATTTACCTCAGACGCACAAGA